TAAGCTTTACCCCCCCTGTCCCTAATTGATGCGACACTCTTCCCTTTTTAGTCAATTCCAGAAAAAATGACACCTTCAACAATTTAACTTCAAAATACCGAATGACATCTTTCTACATTTTAGTAAAAAATACTTATTTTACCCTTATTGAGATATTTTTTTTCTTGTTCTATGGATTATTATAGAACAAGTTTCAAAAGTCTTCCGCTATTATTTCTTAATCTCTATGCCCACTCAAACACCATCACACAAATTGGAAAGGAGAGTAATATTAAGAAATATAACCATTTCTCTTTATCTTAAGGAAATTAATTAATACTGAATACAATTACTTTAAATAGTCTGATATTACACTACCCGTGAGTTAATCATTAATTTTTTGTTCAGTTGGTTGAATCACAGTTTATATGTAGCCTTCCAATATTCTGCACCCATCCGGAAATATTGTATTTATCAACACATTAAATTGAATTCATTGTCCAATTTTCTTCTTTGTTGGCCTCATTACTACTGGATCATTTTTCCCCTTTTTACATCAGCTTGACATTACGATAGTCTTTTTCCTTTGCCATCAGATAGTCATTTAGTTATGATTTTCATGATTCATGAGCAGCGTGTATAACTGATGAAACTTCTGAAAATTGGAGTCAACACACCAAGACCAAGACTAAGAGGGACTTATTGCTAGGAAAGCTTCCCCAAGAATGACCTTAGAACTATCTGTCATTTACTATGCTATCACATTAGAGAGTAAGTCAACCAAATCTTGTGTTTTGTTCACATGATCGATCAATGTTGGAATAAATTGGTTTGATAAATCTAGTTTTCAAAAAAAAAAAAAATTTGATAAATCTCTGTAATTTTCCATTTGTAAAATTATATCTTCACAGAAAAAACTTTACACTATATCAGAAGCTTATGTTAGATATTTTGTTGTTATGAAAACTTATGACTGAGAGTTGGCAAAAATTTTGATTCAAAGAAGAAGAAAAAGCTTCATGATGTGTAAGAAAAACTTAATTGAAAGAGAAGTCACTTTTGTCTTTACTTGTTTCAGCACATAATATTTTCTGTGCCTAATATCTTCAATATTGCTCGTGCAAGCATGGGTACTTATAGTAGTTAATACCTTATACAACAAGAATTATTGCAAAAGATCTTCAAGATAATCTTCTCTCTACGTGCAACATCAATACCAAGTAAGATTAAAGCAGCATTGCAATCTTTTGTTAACAACTATAGGGAAAGATGACCAGTAGGATTGTATTTAAAGGGGATAGAAATAGTCAAATATATGGTAGAACATGAATGAAACTGATATATATAGAGAGAGAGACAGTAAACCATAGATTCAATCATTCAACTGAACATTTCATCCTGACTTCTAAATTCAACGTTGGGAATCTACAGGCTCAAAAATGAATTAAGAACAACGCAGCATTGCAGCATCTTTGGTGAAAAAGTATAAAGACAGCCAAAGGGACTTCAGTTGAGGGGAATAGTAAGTGGTCAAACATGTGATACAACTTTACAGGAACTGATAAAGAAAATAAACGATAGATACAAGAGAGAGTTTCATCATGATAAGACACTGTATTTCTTTTCATTCTTCCAAGTGGTACACACTGGATTCTTGGGGAGCTTAAGAGGGAATAGGCAAGGGGGGCCATTACCTCTGCTTCTTTTTTGTTCTCCCTCAATAGACTCATGGAGCGTATGGTGGTATGTTGGATTCATAAAGAGACTCTAGGTAGTAATGGAAGCGGAGAAAGGAAGGACATATCTCATTTATTGTTCATCACTGATATATTAATCTTTTGTGGGCTTCGACATAGACCAGACAATACTTAGATAAACCTTAATATAGTCTGAACCTATATCATGACTTTGTATCAGTATACACAAGTCAGAGTTAGTGCTATTGGATAAGTTACAAGACATCCACAGCTTGGCATGGACTTGTAAGTGAAACTTGCAAAAAGTGACTAAATTGCCAATATCGTCTTTGCTTCTTTGAGTTCCTTAGAAGAGAAAATTCAAAAATAAAGATTTGTGACAACCTACAATGAAGAAATTCTAGAGGAGGGTGGTGGAGGGAAGAGAGTATTTGTCTGAGAGAGAGAAAGCAACACTATTGAAGTCTACCCTCTATATTATACTCACATAGGAGTTAGGACGCACCACAACTTCAAAGTTATAGAACATCATGTGCTCCTTTAACATTTCATTGGATTTCCCAGACAGTTATAGTATCATCTCTATTATTCTCACTTGTTTTTTTTTCTCTTTGTTTGCCTTTTAATTATTCATCTGATTTCTTTTTTTTTATTTATTAATTATTCACTCGTAGATGTATCTTCATTTTTTACAACCTATCTTACATTTGGCCATTGTCAAGACAGTGAAATGGAAATACTTTACATAATCACATATGCAATAGGAAAAAGACAGAAGCATCAGCCATAGGACAAAGGAAAGAACAATGAATAGGAGACTATTCACCTTTGCCATGGCAACTTGCTTTGACCTTGTTGGTCTGGTTTTATTTGATAAAGCCCTAGACAATCGAGGAATTCCATCATTGATAGCATCCATTTCAACCCCATGGGAAGCTGCATTCAACTCTGGAAAAGAGAACACTGGTTCACTTGGTTGATTCTCCGTGCTTTCCCCCAGTGGAGATTGCATAGAATCATTATTTGCCTGTGGGGGCAATCTATGCGACTGATAAACTGTTCCGGCACCATAGTTGAAGTGACCATTGACATGTGGTATGGAACGACCTGTTGTATTCTCACTGGTGGCTCTTCTAGAGCAAAGGCCACCCATTATCGTATAATGCTTCAACCTACTTCAATCTCGAACTTCCATCAACATTTGAGTCAAAAGTCTATAAATGCCTTGAGAAACTTCTGCAGCAGAGGACCGATATCAAGAAAGCCGATTGACAATCTCCTCTCAGATGTGTCTAAGCTAAACCAAGCAGATCCTCGAGCTCAGCTGCATGATTAAATTAACAATCAACTCTGAGCATAGGTACGATCTAATTCAACTGACACAAACACAAAGAACAGAATATCAAAAAAGCGTGCCTCTATATCTCAATAAATTAACAACAAACAAGCAATGCAAAAACCCAATTTGCAGGATATACATAATACTTAATGGCATCCAGATGGGAGAATGTACAATATTATTAGCAAAAGATATCAAATACCACCAGCATGTTTCCACAAGAAACACCAAAGCTCATAGAACACTACAGGGAATCCACTGTTCTCAACTTGAACTACATATAATGTAAAATATATTAAGTTTGCACTCACTTCCACAAATAAGCAGGAGACTACTACTACAAAAATCCAAGATCCACCTCTATAACATGAACTATAAAGAAGTAAGTCAAAACACGCTAGAAGGGTCTAAAAGATCACAACTTTACCTCATCAGTCAGCAAGAAAACAAGAAAAAGAGACCGACACAGTCACATACTGAATAAAAACACATGAAACAGCTGTATAATGAAGCGGCAAAGCAAGCTTACCAAGTAAGATACAAAGAGTGGTAACAAAAAAGATGATAACTTGGATCTGAACAAAGACACAACAGATTCTAATAACCCCTTTTTCAAGAAGAACAAAATACACTTGATTAAGGGAGAAAAAAAGGGTAATACAAGTGATTAGTAGCTTTTTTTGCTTAATGGATGTTGGATTTTTCGAGAGTTAGAAAGTAGGGAAGGGGAAGCTGGGTCAAGAATAATGGCAAAGAAGTAAGCAAAGAGACCCCCCAAGTCAGACACGGTAGAGTAGGAAAACTCTCTCTCACACGCACAGAGTTGAGTTATCTATGTTCTTGAAAAAACAAAACTTCGCTCTCGGCGTTCAAATGTTTTTAATCATATTTAACAACAAATTGAATTGAGTTTAACTTTTTCTTACTATGTTTTTATAATAAAAAAAAAATGGTTTTTATATTAATTTATTTATTGTAAATAAATGATTATAGTTGTAATAAATTTATATCAAGAATATCAAAGTGAACAAATAGTGAATATTTTAATTTTATTTTATCAATAATAATTCTTTATATGACTTTGAACACTTCCGTCTCTATTATTCAAGAAACACCATATAGCGATTTTCTTATCCTTCCTATGTTTATATTACTTAAACCCTATATTAAATATAGATCTTTAATTTTAAAAATCAAGAATATTCTATTATATATAGTTCATTTAATACTATTATTAAAATATATTTGAAAAATCTTTAATATAATTAGTTAAATAAGGTATATTATTTAATTTTAAAATGTGATTAACGGGGAAAATTTGGCTATAGTTAAAGTGATAAAGAGTAAAATAATTGCCTCAACCACACCAAACCCACCAGACGTCATCGTGCACTTGCTTTGCTTTTTTGTCTTTTTAATGGTCAAACCCCAACGTGATATAAATTTATTTTTCCCGAGGTAATTATGAATTACATCAAAGAGAGAAAAAAAGTCATTATTACCATATGCTCATCATTTATAATATTATATTATATATCGTCAGCACCTTTTACCATAACTTCTCAATTACCACTGTTCGTTTTTATAATTTCAGTGCCACTCGCTATTCTCAAGTCATGAATTCCACAAAACATATTCAATCTTTCTGCTAAAGGAAATGTACTCAAAAGGTAAATCGCTAGTACACACTACTGAAACACATCAAATTACCCACAAATGTTACATGACAATCAACTCACAATGCCGCCTCCAACATAACCAATTCAAAAGATAACCGGAAAGTTCTGAAATATTCATAAAAGGAATCTAAATTTTCACAAAGGCCAGGCAAGCTCGAGATACATTCACTTAGAGCAGAGTTAAGGGAACAGAAAATTAAAGAAAAACTGGCAAAGGAACAATCGTACAGCATAGACCAGGAATTCATAGAGCCTGATCTCTAGAAGTCAGTGACATAATCCTTGCAAATAGGTGTGTGCATAGAACTAGAATCTCCTCCTGGGACTTCTAGAACGATGACTACGAGGTGACCTGCAAGGACGAGGACAGCTACATGTTAGTCAATAGTTCTTCAATACAAAAATCATATGGGTGATGTTCCAAACATTCAAACATAGATTTTGCAGTAATGTAGTCGCATAGGAATTTCATTTTCTATTTATCATATAAAGGGAAGTATCTAAAAGAACAAGGATAAACTTTCCTCCAAATTGACTCAATAGAGCAACAACTCTCTCATAAGTCATAGTTTTCTCACCTTTCATTTTTCAAACATAAAATAAATAATTAGTAGTCTTCCTACCAGCTCAAAATGGCACTAACAGACTAGAAAATTCGCTTAATATATTGTTTATCTCTAACTCTTCCTATTTTTCTAACATTATGAATGGGGCACCAACAACTTAAGTTGGTATTTTCAAACTGATATGTCTGAGCAACCCAGTTATTAGTCTGTAGCTTCAACAATTACAAGCAGAGTCATGACATTGTGCGCATAATAAGCATCCTCTGTTCTTTTTCTAATGGATACACTAGAAACACCTTCACAACTCATGGCACCACAGAGACACTGTAATTTGCAATAACTAAACAAGGGTTAACAAATTTCCAGGAAACAGATGCGCAGACTTACATCATTGCTCTAATAGAGTCCGATTTATAGGTTATGTGTGAGCTCATCATATGGTATCCAACTCCCTTTTTGCCAAAAAGGAAAATCTCCGACAAGACACGTGTTAGTTTCGAATGGTAAATGTGAAGAGCCTATCCTATATTTGACTATAAATGGCAACCCATACCCCACACAGACACATTCCTAGTGTCTTTTGCATCAATTCCACCACCTTTGCACCCCTCTCCAAAAGCTAAATAAAAGCCCAAACTGCTCTGGGGACACCTATCCATGGGAGAGTGAGAAATGCATAAATCTTCAGACAATCATTGTGACCATAATGATGTTAGGAAAACCTAATCCACCACTACACATTTTCATACAACCATAGCAATCATATGTATATTGCAAAACAATCAGCTCTCTAATTGCTGGCAAACTTGACAAATAAACCCGAAGAGAAGTCTGATAAGAATTTGCAGTTAGTCTACTAAATAAGGCTGCAGAGAACTGGTATTTATCATTGAGCTAATCCTACTCAAACTTCTGCTAAACAATTTGGAACTTTTCTAGCTATGTATTGAGGGATAAGTTATCAATTTTTGCCTACAATATGATCAATAGGAAACCTAATTCAATGATCTCAGCTGGGATTTGGCCGAAACTAGATTAACAGCAAAAGGAAATAAATCAAACAATTATGCATACCCTCAGAAAACAGGGAGCAAAAAAGAGAATTTAAGCGACTGAAGGATACACTGTCCATCACCTCCACAGAGAAATGCTTTGATAGAATTAAAAAACTACTATAACGTAAAAGAATAAAAGATGAGGCAAAAATTTAAGATAATATTGATCCACAGGCTATTCAGCTGCCAGACGTTTAAATAAAAGGGAGTCTTAGTAATAGGTGGTTATTATTGATCCCACACACACATAACTGACAGCTGAATCATGAATTACAGGAAATGGGCTGGTAACTTTTATCAACAAAAACATGAGGGAGGCCAGTGACAATTCCACTCCTACGGAGTTGAAGGCAATACAATAAACGACATATATTATAGTGAAACAGTTCGCAAGAAAACAATTACAGACGTCATAACATTAATCCAGTTGCAAATGTTTAAGAAGTAGCTATTCCAATCTCTGAAAATAATTTGAAGGCCCCGACTTTTTGTCAAGAGGGTAAATCTATGCTTCTGAAGGAACATTTGCCAACATTGATTAAAAGTGAAAAAGTGTATCCTTGATTCAGGCAACATTTTTTCACAGCTATTCTACACAAAATTATGTTAATTGGATTAACCAAGAAAAATACCTCCTCCTAACATTTCTCCTTCTAAAAGGACCTTTGCTGAATGCCCAATCAACATGTATAGTCTGAGTTAGCAGCTCATTCCCATCCATTTCACTAATAGCTCTCTCTGCTTCTTCAAAGTTTTCATATTCAATAAGTGCATAACCCTGTCAAAATGGAAAACTGTATAAAAACTATACCACTCCAAACTACGACAAAAGTTGAAACTTAAAACAAAGAAAAGTATCTATCTAGAATCCTTCATAATTAACATAGCATTGATCCTATTTTATTCCATTTTACTCCATTACAGATTCATTCAAGGAAATGCTCTTACATAGTTATATGGAAGAAGGAATGTCTGTCACTTATAAACTTCAACAAATTTTTCTTGATCAAAAGAATTTTGTCATCATCCAAAATCTTTTGATAGGAAAGTTTATTAGATTAAAGCATACAATGGGGATGCAATTCATATAGCATCATATGTACAACACCCAAAACCCAAAGAAGCAGGCAAGCAGCTAAACATTCCGAGAAAGAAAGAGTCAGTTCACCTTGACAAATCCAGAACGACGATCCAGATTCAAATGCAAATTCTTGATCTCCCCGAACTCACCAAATGTATTATGAAGATCATCTTCGTGTGCCTCCTCATTGACTCCAGTGACTAAAATAATCCATCCTTCAATGGCTGCAGATGTTCCCCTCATTAGCTCTCTACTACTAATTAAACTAAACCTTTATTAACCTTACCGGTAACTTCAAATATATATATATATATATATATTGAAGAAAAGAAAAAAAAAAAGGAAGGGGGGGGGGGGGACACCATGCATGTCTGAATCAGCACCTATCAGACATTTTGGGATTTTTATTACATTAGAATTGCATAACTTGAAAAATATCTGAGATACCCAGCACAAATTACATATTACTTGAAGTGCTGGTGACCCAGCAATCAAACAACTAATATCTACGACTGAAATCAGCATATTAGATTCTGTTGGCCAATTTCTCCGACAGCAAGTGCTGAAGACCAAGCTGAGCCGTTGGAGGGTAAGTTGCATTAGCTATACAAAGCTAGCTCTCTCTAAAAGCTAAGCAACAATGATAAAGTGACAAATATACAGCCTACCATTACGTGCTTCTTAGATGTAAATAAAGTAATAGCTGGAACCCAATCCAACTGGTTAGCACATTTATAATGTAAAGAACACGAAGCTGGAGGGCGGAGGCTTATAAGCACAATGGCTAGAGGAGGGGACCAAACAGCACAGATATACATTAAGTACAAACATTTTACCCTATTTCACGATCTTTCCACTCTTTCTGAAAATGAAGACCTCAACTTAATTATTTTTTTTGACAAAAAAAGACCTCGACTTAATTATCTTCAAGTTATTCCACTTTCTAGATACCGTTACAGGGTCCTAACAACTTGAAGATGAGTACAAGCAATATTTGAGTGTTCCTTTCTCTAGTTGCTTTTCTTCACACAGATGAACAAAATCAACTTCTACTAGCAGTAGGTCCTAACTTCTTTATTCACTTCTCTAATTCTGCTTGCTTATACAATGTAGGTGAAACCTTAACATGGTCTCATTCACAAAAGCAATTTAATATCGTTCAACTAATCAATAACAGATAACAAATTAAACCAAAACTAGAAAGTATACTAAATACACTCAATAAAACCATAAAAGCACCTCGTGAAAAAACTCTAAAGATAACAGGGTCAACACTTGAGTGTTCAATGTTAGTCTTCTAAAGTTAGATGTTCTCTAGATTCAACACTGTAAACCAAACTAAACACACTCCTTCGAGGGTCATTACATTACGCGGATTACCAACCTGTAGCAGTTTTCTTTATTCATAACACAAAAACCAAAAGAAAAACAATTATAAGAATAAGCAATTTTTAACCTGTTAAAATTAAGACATCCTAAACCTAGATATTCTCTTAATTAGAAGTCTCTAACCAGACTAAAACATTTCCTTAAGACACTTTACCCATTACCCCAACTATCAACCTCCCGTCACAAAATCATAGAGAAAACAATTATAGGTAACAATTCTTTAACACCAGCGCACAAAGAGAGAATCTGGGGTTTTGATGAATTGTTGACCCACTGCAACATTTTCCCCTAATTTGAACAAAATTCTAAAAAAAAAAGAAAAAATGAGGTAGAAAGTTCGTTGGGTTATATAAAAGATGAGTTAAGAGTAGAAACTAACATCGTTCAGGTCCAGGGCCACCTTCGGAGTCAAGTGAATCAAATCGAGCAGAAAGGCGAGCATTCCTTTCAGCCTCAGCAGTCTCTTCACGGAAACCCCGTCCTTTGATTTTCTTAGAAGCAGAAGAACCGCCGCCGCCACCTGTAATGGCTGATTTCAGCTTTGGCATCGGTGCCCTAGGTGATGAAGCGTCAACGTCTTCGTCCATCAGATCGTCTTCCTCTGGCTCGAAATCCACAGCCTCCTCCGGGTTCGCCATTTTCGCCGCTGCAGCAAAAAGAGAGAATCTGGGGTTTTGATTCGCTTGTTTCAACTGTATATATTTATTTATTAGTACTAATAAAGTATTTTTGTTGAAGCTGTGTCCAGGCAAAATGCTAGGGTATTATACTGGCACAGAAGGGTTTTGGGCCATATGATCTTCCTAAATCTTTTTGTGGTCGGGTCGGGTCAGAAATATAGTTTATTGCAATTAATAAGAAAATATTGGACAAATAGAAATACACCTCTTTTGTTTCACTCATTTGTATTATCCCCTATTACTTTCAAAAATCTCTAAAAAAAAATTATTCTTTAATGTATTCGAGTTACACAATAATATATCTGATCCAGTATTTAATATATATGAGCTACATATTATGTATCCGAGTTAATTTTTAATGTATGCAAGCAACATATTAATGTATCCGAGATCATATTTAATATATCTGATCTTCAATTATTGTATTCGGATTTTTTAACTTTTAAGGTATTAATGTAATTAGAAACTTATTAGGAATAGATTGTAATTTCATATCAAAACTATGAAATTTATGTAGTTCACACAAAATATTTACCATAATATCAAATCATTTGATTTGAGACTCTAAAATATACTAGTCAAATAAAAATATCAAAATGAATGCATAATAAATGAAATTATAATCAAGGAATGTGGTGGAATGAATAAGATTCTTTCATTTTTGATTTAAAGTGTAGAATGTAAATAAGAAATTCTACTGGCCGCATTTCCATCGTAATAGTCTCACATGGTGTGAACATAAGCTAGTTAAATTAATATATTTCGAAGTATAATTAGAAACAGACAGAGAGATTCGTCCGCAGATTAGGTATTTTTAAATCTTTCTATGTATAGATATACATTTTTTGAACCTCCTAAGATTAGAACTTGACATAATAGAGTTTGAAATTCACCTTGAAAGAATACTATCTACTTGAACTACATAATGTTAAAAGTTAGAGAAAACAAATATATAAGCTTTTGTGTGATATTGTATTGTTAAAGTAGGTTTGTGTACTCTTGACAATTTCGTCATGGTGTATGAATGTGAAACCACAATTTAACTACACTAAGCCACTTATTATACTTCTTATTTACCAGAAGATATTAATGGGTTGTTTTTGTTCACAACTAATTACACCAAAGAATACCATATCATTATAAAAAAGTTCCGCAAATGAAGTCTGAGAAGGATAGGTTCATTTTACGCACTTTATTTGAAGCCTCCCCCCGAGAAGGATAGGTTCATTTTACGCACTTTATTTGAAGCCTCCCCCCTCCCCAGTCACATCAAGCACCAAAGCACGACAAAGCTCTATTTTATATAAGGTCTTTACATAAACCATTGCAAGGAAGTTGGTGTAAAAGCTACCTTGAACATCATCAACTTACCATACATGTAATCAACAATAAGCAGGGTACGATTAAGAGTGTGTTAAATAAGTTCTTTTTCCCTCTCTAAAAGCATGTATACTTCCAAACAGAAATACAACATACGATATTTTGCACGTTTTATGCTTATTCCTACATGGTAAGAACAGTAAGAAACTCAAGTGGACCCAACTGATTTGCTTCTTCAGAACAAATTATTGTTCTATTTCTTCTCATTTGTAAGCAAGTACAGAAGCATGATTGCAGCAAGGAAGAACCAGTTGCTGGAATACAACACATGAAATGGTTAGAACTAAATTACGAAAAAATGAGGCTGACACTGAAAAATTGAAAATTACCATTATGAACTCTCTTCTTCATTGGCTATCTGAAATGAGGTCTTCAAGCTCATCGATAACGGCATCATAGCAAAAGAGGTATTGCTCCTGTAATATAAAATAGTAGTTTAGTACAGACATTCCATGCAACAAGTACTTAAGAACCTAAGAGCAAAGATTAGTTAAGAATGATGAAACACAGTAGTATAGATTCTTGGGGTAAGTGTAACAAATACCAAAAGAGAAAAAGAGAGTAAAGCGAATAAAATGTAAGACATCTGACTAGCTTTTAAACAAAAAATAAGGACACTGGGGCAACTATATATAAAAATTTTTATGACAGTAGTGTCCGGGCCAGCTTTTGCAAACCTCGACTACTCCAACAGTTATCTGCTTTAGTTGTATTACACAATTTCAATAACGAAGAGAAGCTGTTGTACCATGGTTTGAACCATCCCAATTCGCTGAGACCTAAAAATGGTTATTGTGTTAACTAGATCTAGAGCAGACTTATCTCCACCCAATATTCTTTGGATGGTATTATGGATTGCACAGTATGTTCCAGTCCTACCAATACCTGCACTGTGTAAGAGAATGTGATGTCAGGCTTTAGAAAGGATAAATTACAGAATCATTAAAAAAGGCACATCTACAGGGAATATGATAGACAGAAACCTGCAGTGCACCACAATTGGTCCAAGACTGGGTGGGACACTAAATGTTTGTTTCAGTATTTCACGAACAGCAAGAGTGTCCTTTGGAACTCCATGGTCAGGCCAGTCGGGATATTGAATGTGTAAAACACACAAAGGTGGTTCTGTTGACTGGCAAATAGCAAGGAGAAAAGATCACACATTTATTGCCATTTCCCTCATAATATGGGCAAGAAATTAGTGTTAACTATATGTAAGGATGACAAGTGAGTGGGAGAATTGGGCCACAATTACATACCATTGTATGAACTACTTACAAGATTGCCAAAAGGTAATTCCACTAAAAGTACAAGGTTAAAGAAACCACATTTCTGATATCATAATACGAAATAAAGCATTTATACTGCAAAGTGAAAGACTGAAGTTTTTCTTTACTCCCAACAATAAAAATGCCAGAATTACTTGAAAGAGATCGCTAAGGGATTGCCGCAATGACTGTAGTACCAATTGTGAGCCTTCTCACGCAAACAAGTCGTCTATTGCCACCTACTACACATGGCAAGAGAAAAACTAGATCTGCTATAACAACATACCCAGTGTAATCCCACAAGTGAGATCTGGCGAGGATGGTGTGTACACAGCTATAAAAGTAATTTAAACACAAGATAAAACAAATAGAACTAGCATTCAAGTTGTCCTCATGTAAGGAAGAGGGAAAAAGGTGTTGTCATGTATCTTAAACAGTCTATCCAAGCATCAAAGATTGTAAAAGAAGGAACAAGAATGCAGGCAGAAACGATTCCACAGTAGAATAAAGTGCTTCAAAATGGGACTTTGAAAATAGTGAAGGAGGGGTGAGGAACCACCAAAGAATCTTTTCCACTTAATTAGCATTCATAATCATTATCTGTGTTACTTAAAAAGTCTTGCTGCAACTAAGACAAGGCCTTGAAATAGACAAAAGGCAGGTTTCCAAAGCCATATCTGGATGGTTTACAAGTCAATCAGTCTTCCTGTTTGGTTTAAAACCACTAATTGAAGCTAGAGATGGAATTGCATCGATTATATACAAGAAGAGACAACGAGCAAAAATGACACCATACTATCCAATTGATTGTTGAAGGCAATACTGATGGAAATCATCATATAGTATTGCAAAATTTTCCCCATATGTTGCAATTCCTTTTTATTCTTGCTCTCATAAAAAAAAACCCAAATTTTGGGAGAACTTATGCAAAAAGAGCAATGCGTGATCATAGAGCTTTAAAGAAGGGTATTCTAAAGCCAAGGACTCATATTTACTGGAGAAGAAGTGTATCAGTCTGGATATGTAAAATGCTGCAGAAATCAAAATATGTACATCAGCAACTCTCACTCTCCATCAAATGAAACAGGTAAATAGTTTCCAGCGGTTCCATATACATGTCCAACATAATAAGATTCTTCATGCTCTTCTCCTTGTGTATAACACGGACAGAAAAAAATTTACTAACCTCAATATAGTTCACCTCCAGACATCGCAAAATCAATGAAGTCTGAGTCGTCTTTATCCACTTCGTAACAATACATATATTGCCAAATCTTCTGGGACCACCATCTGCCTGAAAATAATCCCCACACTTGACAATCTGCATTGCATTTTTCATAAAGATGAAAAGATGAAATAGTCAAAATGACGCAATCACCAGCTTAATCACTTACAAATGAAGTAAAAACCAACTAAGATAAATGCTTAAATTCATTCAGAGGTTAATAGGTGATACAGGGTGATTGAAAGGAAACTAGTAGCCTCTCTCTTTGTGTGAAGAGTTGAATATAATCCAGAATAAAGGTCATGAAACAAGGTCTCTTATTTTCCTTTTTTCCATTTGGCCCAGGAAATTGTTTCTCAGCTAATCGGGTATTAGGAAGATAGAAGGGAAAGAAGAACTTATTAAGCTCAAATTCCAATCCTAGAATAGCCGCCAGGCCTTTGCATTAGACTTTGCTAATCCTTCTGCAGTTTAAATAACCAACAAAATCCAAGTATAACAGTTTTGAAACTAGAGAAAGACCACAAAAATAGATAAATGATCTACCAAGCTTATATGAAGGGAAAACTAGGGCTTTTTCCCGTGATGGAATATAAACTTCAATTGGAACCTTCCCCAACAGAAGCTGATTTTCTGCAAAAGTTATTCACCTACAAGCTTTATATTCATCACGAAGTCACAAGCTAGTGATCATATAATATCTTTAAGCACCACACTAGAAGTCTACTTATACCAACTCCATCAAAATATGCCCAAGCTCTGAAATAGTCTATAGGAGAAACATTCCCTACTCAGAAAGATTGCCAGTGATGAGTGATGACTAGCAGAAAGATTGACAGTGATGACTATATCAAATTTAAACAGACCTTAAAGCCACAACCTCCGGCTTGAATTAGGGCCAGAAAGGATGATGTAAAATAGGTGTCAAAAATGAAATCAAACATAGGTAACCCAGCCAACCCGCACAAAATTTTAAAGGTTGGGCTCAAGATAATTTGAAATGGGTTCAATCCCAACCCATTCAAGCTTAACCCATTTGAAGAGAATTCTCAATTGAGCCCAATTCAATCTCCAATTTCAACCCG